TTCAGTTGGTTAATTTCTCTGAAGGATCAATGCCACAGCTGATGGTTACTGAAGTTTCTTCCTTCACCAAGCACAAGGGGGGTTTTGAAATGAACTCTACAGGGGATCACAAACCAACTCGTCCGTGTAAATAAGAGGAGCATGGGTGTGTAATTCTCTTAATCTGTCAAGACTAGCACAGCAAAGACATGAATCATAAAAGCCGAACTAAAGCAGCTTCAAATTTTGGATCTAAATTTCACAGTTCCTCTCATTATACGGGGTCAATCAAAACCGGCAGATCCAACCTTGCCCTAGCTTTCAAGGAAATTGGACTTGAAAGCCATGACTTCTATCGAAGCAGAATGCAAGCTTTGTATGAAGTGGGCAACTCTAGTGGTTCATTAATGATAACTTTTTAGGAAATCTTACAGAGACCTTGTGAACTGCTGTCTTTATATACTTTGGTCTTTTTTTATTATTATTTATTTTTTTATTTTAATGAGGTTGCAGTCAAGTTGCCCTTATGGAAGCAAGCTAGTTGTAGACAGAGCATTTTTCTCACACTCCAAGCAAGAGAGCAAGGGGATAGGTTGTTGGGAGAATGCAGGCAATGCTCCAAGAGGAGATGGAGGACGGTATGCTGGGAGAAGGAGAAAGCAATCCAAGGAGTGGAGGGAAGGAGAAGACAATGTCTAACCAAAGCAGAGAAACTTTGGCTTGAAAAGCAGCAAAGGGAAACATCGAGAAAGAAAACGGAGAATAAAAAAAAAATCAAGCCAGGCTAAAAATAGTACGTGGATATTACCAAAATTATCTCACTAGACAGAGCTCAGAGAACTCAGCAATAAAATGTGATGAATTGTGTTTTCAGCTATGCAATAATTAAGCTAGTCTGGACTTTCTAAAGCAGAATCCAACTCCTGTACTCCTCGTTTGGCCATGAGGGCTCCATCATAACTCTGTATTTCCAGTGGACCTGGGTCTTGCTCATATAAAGGATAGGAAATTGTAGCACATGATTCCAGCTGAATTTAGGGCCCTGAAACCACAAGACTGTAACCCTCTTACCTATCCTATTAAGTGCTTGAAGAGATCACATTTTTCAGCTTAGTTTTCAGGTGTAAACAGAATCACAGCTACAAGGAGATGCAGATGTCCATCCAAGGTAGACACAGATATGAGGCCTTGTCACTGTTCTGATTTTTATTTTTTTTCTATCACAATTTCAAATAGACAAATTTCCCAGCTCTGCCTGGAGGAAATTATCGTGTTACATCAACCTTTGTACCACTTCTATGTCACAGGTAAACCCTTTGCTTTTTTCTTGTTGATTATTTCCAGCTCCAAAGGATACAGAAGCTTTGTATCTTCCAAAACCACATAGATTTAAATAATAACTGAGATTTTCAAGTTTTAGCTTGTTGAAAATGTTATTTCTGAACCTTTTCTCCCCTGTGCTATGAAGGCTTGAAACATACTGTCTTCATTTTTTAAATAGAAGACAAGAATCATGAGTAATCTAGTGATCCCTGTGAAGATGCTGGGTCTTTAGAGTTGGTTTATGTGCTTGAAATTTCTTGACTAAAACAAAACAGAAGAAAAAAAAAAAAGTAGATACTTTTTCATGCATATTTTCACGCAGGCAAAAAATACTAGTAAAAATATTTTTATGTACATATACCAGTATTTTTGTATAGGTGGCCATAGAGTAGAAAAATGTATAATGAGATTTGGGATAAAACTGGAGAGCTGTCAACACTGTGTTTTCTAGCTATGCATTAAAAATCAATCTAAACCAGGACTGTTTTCATGTATAAACAGAACAGGTAGAAAAATTGCAAATTGTTGACAACATTTTCAAATTTTAACCAAAACCAACCAAACAACAATAAAAAACAGAAAGCTTTGTGCACCTGAAAGATTACATTTCCTCTCTCATTCTTAACTCCAAAACAAAGAGTCGACGCGCTATTTTATTTTTCTCTCACACTGATATTAGATTTTGAGCCTTAAATGAAGAATGCATCAAAACTATTGTCATTGTCAAACAGTACAAAAAACTTCACAAACTTCTACTCAACCATCAGCATGGCTGATGGCATCACAGGGTTCACCGCGGATCAGATATATCTCCAAGTGCACAGAACAGGGAAGAACCCTCCAAGACAAAGTTCCCCTTGAGGAAATACGTCCCCAGATTCTTAGAATAATAAAAATAAGAAGATTTAAAGGAGAACTCAAGGGATTTGATGACAGAAGTGCTGCCAAGCCCCTGGTTCATCCGTTGAGCCGGGTTGTTTTGCCAGCCATGTCTTCCCAAGAGGCACTGTTGGCTGGACATTTTCCATCTACATCACAAGAAGGCTTTAATGTTGGTACTCATTAAATAGTTTTCCCAGCGAATAAAATTCTTCCTAAATCTTAGTAGCTGGAAGTTGCCTGGCACTCTGAGGATGGTTTTCTAATCTCTTTTCTGGATGGCCTTATTTCCCACAGAGATGCCCAAGACTTTGGAGAAACTTGCAGAGGTTCAGGCTGATACCTCCTGGAAACAACAGCAACAGGTTATTGTGCAGTGACATGTTTCTTTTCATCAGTTTGGAGATTAGAGCCTGGACACATTGAGTATCTCCTTTTCACTCTATTCTGCAACTGATGCAGGAGAATATAAAGAACCAGATTTTATCTAACAACAGTTGCAAGAAAATGTGGAGGTGGTTAGAAGATAATCATGTCAGGGTTTGAAAGGCTTTAGGGGAAGATTAACAGTAGTTTAACCAACTGTTAATTAAGGAAGGCAGGCATTGTATTTATAAAATTTAATCGGGAAAGATGATGTGACCACAGGAATTGATCTGTGTTTCCATTCTGACCAACTCCATATAGTATAAATTGTCTTGGTTGTGAGATTTTTCTTCTAGAAAAAACCCATTTGTTATTTTTGAGAGAAAACTGGGCAGTCATAACTTCTTGGACAAGTTGAGGCAAGGAAGCTGACGTGTTTTGGTGTTTTGGTTTTTTTTTTTTTTTCATCACAGGAACAATGATAATTCAAAAGCCTATTTCAAGCCACTGAGATAGGAGTTGTTCTTCCTCCTTCATTCTTCACAGCTTTACGCTTTCTTAAATGCTTTGACACAGTTGTTCTCTCTGAACTAGATAGTGTTTTGTATCAGCCCATTCTGACCAGTGCTGGAAAGTCATCCTTCACTCCTTATTTCCCAGGCCATCAGCAAGTGAGCTGATAACCATCTATTTTCTGTTACAAGGCTCTTCCACGCTCCCACCAGAGTCTCACTCTAACTTGTTTTAAAGTAAACACCTGCTGAAATGAAGAACTGCCACAAAGTTAGGAGATTTATCTGTTTCAGATCTTCATTTTGTCAATGTTCAGCACACATTGGACAGCCCTTTCTCAACTCCCCCTATCAAGAACAGCACTCCTGTCCCTGAATTAAGACTCCTCAACATGCATGTATTAATGCTAATAAGTAAAACTAACTGATATTACTCAGGATCAGTGCCCGCCAGGGAAACTAAATAGACCTCTTTAACAGATGGATGGCCTTATATTTCAGTGGTATTGATCTAGGGAAGTTGAAATGTTATTTTGCCCATATTTCTGCTTGCAAAAATCTTTGATGCCATGCAAAATTATTCAGCAGACTGGCTGTGAATTACAGTCTGTAGCCATTAGCAGACTCCAGTGTTAAAGAAGATTTGTTCTAAGCCTCTAGAAACAGCACACATGGCCCAGATTCTATCCATATTAATCTAAATGGGAGAAATTCTGCTCATTGAAGAACTTGTTTCTTCATCAGTAAGAAAGACTAGGTTCAAACTTCCAACAATGAACACGTCATCAGGATGGACTTATACATATTGGTTGCACTGGGTGCAATCTATACATAGACAGACTTGGCTTACTGTTACACCAAACACAGAACGATTGTTAGAATACACAGTTTGAACAGAAGTGATGTAAATTTTAATTTCTTAACCAGCTCCAGGCATTGAATAAAACATGATACAGTACAGTGGATATTCTGTCCTATACAAAATGAATTACCTACAAATCAAATTTTTTGATCCTATTTACCAAAGGACATGAGCACCTCATAACTTCGAACACTCCCAAACTCATGGCATACCCATGGCGGTTAATGTTGAACAAGGCAACACATCCACCTGACAACACAGGAGGGCAGGGGATGGAAGTGGATGACTTCAGCTTCTTCAGTTTTTAATTGGACCCTTATGCTCTCAGACAAGAGACAAGAGGTTGGGGTTATACACAACCTCAAAAAGGGATTTCAAGAGAGCAAAAGCCTCATTTCATTAAACCTCAACTTCATTTACTGTTTTGCTCCATTCTTGCTATGGCAAAGCACTGCAGGAGTTTGGGTGGATGAAGAAGAAGAAACCTAGCAAAGGTCAGGCAAATCTGGTCTCCAGGACAGACTCTGCTCCCTTTGAAGGAGAGAAGACAAGAAGAAGGCATAAAGGAAGAAAGCCCCACAGAAAGGCTCAGGACTGTAGCAGCTCCTGGAAGAAATCTAGCTCGGTGGCCTCATTAAACAGGGCCATGCTTTGGGGTGACAACACCTTTATAAAAAGCAGCAGCTCCTTCCCCACACCTGTGAACAGGGGCAATGGCATTGACCTTCCTTTGGAGAAGCACGCAGGGATTTAAGGACAGAAAGTGCTGCTTCAGCACTACTATTTTTATTCAGGAGGAGTGCTTCAGAGGAAGATTTTTTTTTAATACTTTTTTTTTTTTTTTCTCCTTTTCTCATCCAAGTCCACTAAGGGCATTCAGCCCTCATCCCTTCTGGGCTGTTTGGCTGCAAAACAGCACATGCAACTTCTGTGCCTCTGTGTCTCACCTGACAGCACTTTGATTTGCGTGAGAACCTGCCTAAGATGTGGGGTAATTAATTAGGCAATCCCCAGAAGACTTGGTTTAGGCTTTCAGGATGGTGCAATATTGCTTTCCTCTCTTTGAAAGAAGGAGATCCTTAAAAGTGTTTAAAGAAATGAGCTGCTCAGCTGGCTCTAGGCAAGGTCTTCTCTGAGTCCTGGCCACTTTTCACTTGGAGATTTCTTGGTTCTGCCTTTTCTGCCGGGGACAGGGACTGAAAATGAAACACTGCAAGAGAGGTTTCTCCCTTCAGGTTTTCAGCCCTTTTTTGCTGATTCAAAGGTATAGATATTTTGTTTAAATAATTAGCTGCAGCTTTTATCTGAACTGAGCCTTGAGGCACTCCATAATTTTTCCCATTGCTGGCTCCGATGTTCCTATTGCAGGCATGGGATTTATTTCTCTTTTGGCCTGTTACAAATTCAGATCAGATAGCTGGACTTCTCCCTGAAATGACCAGACAGGTTTTACTTCCTCCTTAGAGCTAGGTGGATCAGGAAAGCATCAAAAGTGCAGACTCTTCAAGCTAAATATACAAGGCCCCTTCTGCAGAGACTGGAGCAGACGCCTTTAGCTTTCTCCTCCCCACCTTATGTGCTATCCAAAGCCTGGATTGCTCTTTAAAACATTTAACTGGGGGAAGCCATTTGTTTCCCTTGATCTGTTTACAGACAGGAGAGAATATTTTAAGACCAGAGGAAGCGACACATTTTGCCCTGCAGCAGCTACAGCGTGCTGTATGTTAGAGAGAGATTGATAACTTCATGGCACAGCCCTCCCAGCCCATCTCTGAAAAACTAAACACCCACTCACCCCAGAGCCAGTCCTTCTGCATGTTCTCTGCATAGCAAGGGAAGATTTGCAAGGCTGGAGCCATCAAGGCTGTACTTCTGGCTGTAGCTGGGGCAGGGTTTGCTTTCTTTCCCTTCTAGTAGGGTGGAAGAGATGGGTCGTTGAGATGGAGTAGGGAAGTTTAAAAGGAAAACAAGAAGAGAGTTTTGGGGAGATTCTGGAGACACTGGGGATGACCATTAGGAGGATACCTTAAGGCATTCAGAGTCCTGAAATCTCAGTTCCTATTTGAGGTCCTTCTAGCTAGAATTAAGAATGCTCCCCCTAGCTTCATGTCATTGCAAGAGTCTATGTGCTCAGCCCTTGAGCCAGAGGAGAAGCAGCTTGGGGAATTTGAGATTTGGGCTGAAAGGCATTTTATCCCCATTTTATCCTCATTCTATCCTTTTCTTGCAATAGGGTGTTGGTAGGCCAACAGTCCCAAGTGTATTAAGGATGTTGCTGAGAGTATGAGTCTGAAGGGAAGGGGAGGATGAGATGAACTGATGACTTAAGATCTTATTAGCTTCAGCAGGAACAAAAACTCTCTGCAAAAGCATGCAGATTTTGGCAACCCCTGAATCAAGGTAGGGGATGCAGTCCTAGGTTAGAAATCCCTCTGCAGGGGAATGGACACTATCAGCAATGTATATCTACCTGTATGGAATAAATTGGTGGTTGAGGTAGAAGCTGGAGGGATCTGTGTGCACAGAGAGAGTAATTCCAACTCATTCTGTGGCATCTGGGTTCAGAGCATCTCCAGACCCAAATCTGTGCAGCACACCTCCAATGCTGCAGTGCTGCTGAGGTGTGGGAAGGAGGGGGGAGAGAGAGAAATTGGAGAGAGGAGCACTGTTACTAGAGCTGGCATTTTAATATTGAAAGGTTGTGAAATCTAATAAGAGCTACAAGGGAGGTTGATGTATTTTTTCCTCATGCTACGATGAAATTGGGATTCAATAAGTAAATGTGACAGAATATGCAATTTCCCATAGATTTCATGCAGCAGGGCGCTTCCTGCGTAATAACCTTAAACCAGTATTTTTTTCCTTACCCCAGCTAAGATCTCTTGCCTCCCATCTTATCTGAATAATAGTTCATCCCCATAAAGTGCAGCCTGCCACTTCAGCTGCAGCTTATCGCTGCCTGATGGTACATGGCGGACAAAAGTAAATATTTTTTCCACCTTTTTTTTCTTCATAAATGATATCTTCCTGCTCCTTCCTGTGAGAAATAGGCCTGGGCTGGGATGTGTGGGGGAGGACTAATTCTTAGTTGGCTTAGGTATCTTTTATGGTGCTCAGCTGTAAAGGGCCCTTAAAACGTTTTTCATTAAGATCTCTTGGAGATGCCTTTCCTTTGGAGGCTGTATTGACAGCTGTAGAGATGAAAGGAAAGCTACAGCAACCTTGTTGCCATCCCATGTGAAGAAATCCACATCCTAAAGGTAATTCCCTGAGGGTTGTCACAGTGCTATGTATTGGACATAGGTTCATGAGCCAGATCCACATGGTCTCGTGCTGACATTGGATCTGATTTTGAGGTTGTCCTTCCTTTAAATTAGGACCCAATAACCTTCATTGGCCATTTACCACCTAGACTATTTTATGGCTCTGTGCATAGCTATGTTTTAAAACTCCTTGTGTGAAGGGTGAACTGGAGGTGTGCACGGACGAAGGGTACAGGGACATAATCACAAGTGCTCGAATGCCTACATTTTCACCCATTATTGCCTGTCAGCAGAGCTGCAGTAATGACCTGTCCCTGTAACCATCCCCTGCCTCATTTTTGCAGTGTGAGCTTCTCCCATGAGCAGTCCCTATGCCCTTAACTCCCTCTTGGCACAAACAAACTGCTCTCGCTTAACCTACTAACTGAGCTTTATTTCTACATGTGCCCTGGCCAGGACCTGAACCATGTTAGCTCAGATTGCTGCCCATTCCTAATCATCCGAGGCAGTGAAGTTAAAAAGGATTATTAATCAATAAACAATCTCGCTGTAAGCAAAAACACCTTTTCCTTTACAGCACAGGGGAGGCAGGAGCACACAGGCAGGCAGTTCCAGCAATTCAAGTTAACCTCTTGAGCTGCCCAACTCTCTCCTTGCTTGGCATGGCAAGATCATGCCCTTCTGTCCACTTTCACCCTTTGTCCTGCCAACCACAGCACATCCAAAACTCCCAGGGCAACTAAAACTACCTCCAATTTCCCTCTCTGCTCCAGGTATAGGACCAGCATCCCAGAGGATGAATTCCCCATCACTATCAGGTTTGAGAACTGCAGTAATAACATGCATAATGACACCCTCCCTCCTTCCCCACCATCAAAAGGCTCATTCTTTGTTATTGCAGGCACTTTGATTTTGTCTAGCCGCTTTTCAAGCTGAGTATATGATGATCTTATTGGTGTGCCGTGCTATTTCTGCCTGCCCTCGGGAGGCAGAGATTTGGATGACGGCACTGGTGAGGCAGGTGAGTGGCATTTTTTTAGCTGTCCTCTGGCTATGCACAAGATGAGTGGCATTTTTTTAGCTGTCCTCTGGCTATGCACAAGAAAAGAAAAGAGAAAAGAAAAGAAAAGAAAAAAGAAAAGAAAAGAAAAGAAAAGAAAAGAAAAGAAAAGAAAAGAAAAGAAAAGAAAAGAAAAGAAAAGAAAAGAAAAGAAAAGAAAAGAAAAGAAAAGAAAAGAAAAGAAAAGAAAAGAAAAGAAAAGAAAAAGAAAAGAAAAGAAAAGCCACAAAATGGGTTAGCTTATACGCAGCACAAAAGGAAACCCCATGCAATTACAACAACCTGTAATGCTCACTCCAAGATGAGGAGGGTCAGACCCTGACCTGGCATTGCAAGCAGTGGTGCTGCTCTGCCTCCAACACTTGGCTTGAATTTCAGCTCAGGATTCGAGTGTCTAAATGTAATGGCCCATCTGATTCAGTGGAACTTATTGTCATTGCCGGTTAACTTGAGTTGATATCAAGATAACAGCCTATGAGCAGTTTCTGTGTGGTCCTGATCACTGGTATTGATTTCAATAAGGTGCGGGCTGGATCCTTGACACTCTAATTCTGAAATCAATGGAGCTGGGACGATTCACTCCGCCTGGGCGCCAGGGAAATCAGGTACATGCCTTTAACAATAAACCAGCGATTTAAATTATCTGTGCAGTTCTTTAAGGAGCCTTGGCAGGCAAAGCAGAGATCCTGCAAATGTAGATAACATGCTAACCAAGTGAAAATTCAAACATCTTGAGGAAAGAAGGGAAGAGAAGGAATTCTCTCAGATTCTTACTCAGAACACTGACTGGTGCATTTATTGAAAGACAGTGAAAGAAATTAAGGTAATCTTATCCTTAGGAAAGCAAGACCTCAGGTGCACCAGCACTCAGATTCATTTGGGATTAAATATAGGGGTAAAGACAAAGCGGACTTGAGTTGTGAGTCCCACATGATTATTCAAAGTGATTTGGACCTAATATTGATAATGACTCCCGTTCCCAACATCCTATTCTCAGGTCCAAAACAATAAATAAAGCAAGACAGAACAGGTCAGTGAAGCTGTTAAGGAGAGGACAAAGCAGGTGGGGAAGGTGTTGGAGCAGAGTTGTGGTTTGGTGCCTGGCTGAAGTTTGGCACTTGGTGTTGGAGAGGTGGCAAGTATTAGCCCAGAAATCACTTAGTTTTAGTGTCATATTCACACATTTTCAATAGGCTGGACTAAATACTGATATGCTGATTGCTGCAACTCCCAGCCAGCTCAATGGCCTCAACCAACACCTCCAACTTGATTCCTCATTGCATTTAAGAACCGGCCATTCCTTGCAGGCAGGAAAGGCCCAAACACATCCTGTAGACAGCGATGCTCCTTGACCCTGCCTAATTCCTTTTGGGTTCACTGAATACCAGCCATGAGCCATCCAAGTGCACAATCCCCCAAGACTGTTACCACGTGCTGGTAGCCCACCAGCTCTGTTTCTTTATCTTAAGCCCTATTTAACCAATTGTAACTTCCTCAGCATCAAGATTTGTCTTAAATCAGTTTGGGAGCCGAGTTCCAGACTAAAGGCCACCAGACTGTTCACCAGGCAGACTGGTGCTCTGGCAATCACAAGACTCCACAAAGTTTGGCCCATCACTGAGCTCAGGACATGGATTCCTCACCTGGGGACAGCTACACCTGTGCCACTACTGTAGCCTAATAAATAAAACTGGGTTTCCCTGCTGTTAGCTTCTTCCCTCCCTTTCTCCAGGAAATGCAAAGTAACTCAGACTATGTTGTTTCCGTCAGTGCCGAGCCTGTTATCAATTTGTGCAGGTGGGAGACGATGATTGCTTAAGGAAATGGCAGTAGGCCAACAGCATTGAGTATGTGGGAATGACAGAAGGTTGTGCTCTGTATTTCTCCTCTCTCAGTGGCTTCCAGATCAGCTCAGCTCCATTTGGAGAGGAAAAGAAGGGGTTGCTCTTCTACTCTCGGAGCCAGGAAGAGTACCTGGCATGCAAGAAACCCATCTGTCCATCACACAACATCTCTTAAGGGGAGAGATCCTGCAGCAGGGACCTCAGCAGCAGTTTAGAGGGTGGTGTACAGGGGGTGTCGTGGACTGTGGGTCTCTCCTTTCCATCTGTACAGAGTATTTGGGAATGGAAGCGGAGAAAAGGGCTGGAAGGGTGAAGGAGGGATACAGTCCTGAGTGCTCCTAGATCACTGGTTCATCTTTTCCCCTGAGTGCGCACTGCAGAAATGTTTTCTGAGCTTTCTACCTGTGTCCTACAGCTGGGCACCAGCATACCACTGCAACTTCCCTCTCTCACTGATTGCACGTGGCTCCTTTATAAAATATCACTTTGTTTCTCTGGGTCTCTGATTGCTCCAATAAATGTTCTCCTTTGCAGGGGAGCCTAAAACACTTATCCCATTCCACTTCCACCCCCCTTGAAGGTTTACACATTGTTTGCAAACAGATTTTCCCCTGTCACTGCCTAAGTGGTGTCTTTTTCCCCGAAGCACCAGACAAGGAGGTGTGCAGGGAGAGGTGGAGCGACACAGCCAACCACCCTGCCTGGCTCTGTCTGTTCCTTGTGGGGATGGGAAGTGACACATTTCCACGAGGTAATTACATGTTGTCATTTCTCCGTGTGCCATGCGCTGCTTTGTGGGAAACTTTGAAGTCCCTTGAAACATTTTTTGAGAGAACTGAGCCGAGGTGATGGCTGTGAAGGCAGATTATTCCCCTGTAACCCGGGGGCAGCCTTCAGAAGTGTTACTCAGGCAATCCACAGAGGCACTCGAGTGTTTTTTTTTTCAAGGTCCCTCAAAAGACATAATTCTACAAAGCAGAGCTAAACCCCCTTGTATTTAAAATTAAACCTGATCCAAGAGTCAGATGCTAAACTCGATATGACATGGAACACGATGCAAATCCAGATGTTGGTCTCAATTCCCAAGTGTCCCAGGCCACGTCTGGGCTGAACCTTCACTCCAGATGTTCATCCTCATGTCCAAGGCTGAAATCTGTTACTACGTCTCTGCCACCCCCTCCAAATTCCCCAGTGAGATCAAACAAAGAGTGGTGGTGAGTGGCTGCTCTCTGGAGCAGGAGGAGGAGGTGTGTAGCAGGAAAGCTGGAGTTTTTGCAAGGCGACCTGCAGCTTTCACACACGCTCCTCTGAGTCCCACACAGATGTTCTGAGTGACATTGCCCATGCCCCTCATTGTTTGCTCTTTGGGAACATTCCTACAAAAGGATGCTTGTTCACACTAGCATTCAGGGAATGGACATTTTTTCCAACAAATATCCACATATAAATAAGAACAAAGGCAACCAGGTGAAAAAGAATATATATATTGATAATAGTAATAATAATAATGCTTCCCTGTTTCTCCTTTGGTTCCTGTGTTTCACTTCCCCTCTGTCTGGATATTCAGCCACCCATTTGGTAGCAAAAACACATGCTTTCCATAACCTTTCACCACTGCCATTCCTGGAATGGAGAATAGCAGGGAACCACTTGGAAACCGTCTGGTTTGAAGCTGTTTAATCAAACTATCCAGACAATAGTCATGAATAGTTCACTGAGTCATGAATAGTTCACATAGTTCACTGAGACTAGAATATGTTCTGGGACAGATGAAGGGAGCTACATCCATCCTCCTGCAAGGAATAACTCAGCCCACCTGAACTTGGAAAATAGGCTATTTAGTTGCTTTACAGAGGAGGAAGATGAAGCTCAGAGGGACTGAGGAATTTATAGACCCACTAGGGTGGTTTCCCAGCTAAAAAGAGCTGGGAAATGGTTTGGAGGGTTAACAAACACAAGACCTTTACGTTCTCAGGACAGTTGGCCCATTTCAGCATGGACAAATAAATAAATTAATTTTTTAAAAAAATAGAAATCCTCATACAAAATTATCTGGTTTGCACATAGTGAATCAGATGGAAGAGGGTTTTGAGCTGGAGCTATTGTGCTGTAATCAGTCCAACAAAGATTGTGCCAGAGAAGATAAAGAAAAAAAATCCATCATTTTAAGGTGAGCGGAAAACATAGATCTACATAAGACATATAAGACAAGCATTTGAGAACAGAGAAGCAATATATTTCCAGTAACTCTGTCGATAACATCTCTAAGAACAGGATTTCAGTAGTCCCTTTTTTTCATCAGACTGGCGAGCATTACTTCCAGTGGTGACAGCTTCCCTAATTTTCTTTAGGACCTGGAATTCCCTTCTCCACCCAAGCTCGATGCTGCTTTGCAATGCCAGACTCATCACCTCAATTCCCCTGAGCTTCGACAGATGGAATTAGGATATAGCAGTAGTGCAGCAAGACTGCAGGTGGTGGGTTTCAAGCCACTGACTTCAGCAAAAAAAACGTTTGTAGCTCCCATTTTAAACCAAGTTGGCTTCACAAGGAGGGCACCAGGCTCTCCTAGACATTGCAGTGAGCTGCTAGAGGGAGACAGACTCTAACAGCCCAGTGCAATGCTAATAAATGGCATTAGGAGCAACTTGCTCTTTCTGGCAGAGTAAAGCCATCGTGGGGGAGAAAATCATCTGCAAATTTCCCTAAACTGCACACAAAGTGCTGGCCACTTGCAGAGGCAGAATTACTCTTATATGCACTTTTGCAGAAAATGGAGCTATCACATATTTTCTCACTGAAAGCAAGATAAAAGTAGTAGTAATAATAATAATACTAATAGCAAAATAAAAGTAGCAACTGTAGCAGCAATAATAATAATAACGTATTATCTTGGTCTCATACCAGAGCTTTTCTTCAGGAAACTGATCCAGATTACAAGGGAAAGGGAGTGAGACTTTTTTTTTTTTTTTAACTTGGGTTTTGTTACTGATCACATTCACTGCAGCTGTGTGAATGTTTTATCTGGACACAAGAAAGGGGCCAGAGCCTCACTGGGAGCCATCTGGGAAGGAGGTGAGAGCTGTCTTCTTCAGCAGCAACAGTGCGTTATAAACTGAATTGTAACCACTTACCACTGCCTGGTTTAATGAAGATACATAAGATAAATAAAATAAAAAAACATGGACAGTAAGGAAACACTAAAAAGTATTCCCCCCAGACAAGTAGTTCATCAATCAGAAACTCTGTTTGAGAAACTTTATATTTTTAATTCTGTTATTCTTTTATATATTTCACGTGCAGTTAAGGTGGGTGCAGATTTCCCTTTGCCCACATCTGCAGAGAGCTTCCAGCAGAGAACAATAAATGTGCAGTGGAAAGAGTCAGAACATTATTGCCTGAAGGGTTTCAGACAGGGTGGTATCATTGTCTTACTGCTCCCTCTGCTCCTTCCCACACCTCCAAACCCACAACTGGCACTATGTTTCCAGGTGTGGGTGCTGATATCAGACCACAGAGATGATTTCTAAGTGAAACCTTCAAGGTCACCTCTCCCCAGGACATGGGACTGGTGATAGTGATGCAAGATGCTTGGACACACTGAGGCTGGGGAGAAACCCTTGGACATGAGACCTCTTTCTCCTGGGCACTGAGGGGTTCTGCCTTGCTGCAGCAGCTGGCAGCAGGGTAAAACTCAAGCATCTGGAGCAGACATCATGCAAAGATACCAAAGTTACTAAGGCCACAGGACAGAGCAATGAATCACAATGTGCTACGGTGATGAAATGGTTATCTTTGTGATGTAACATCCTTTTTGCCATCCACCTTCTGTCCACATTTCTTGCTGCAGAAGCAGCCCACTTTGTTTTTGCAAATGGAAACATCAGGGACCACAGCAATTCAGACCTCAAAGCAAATTCAAAGCAAATGGAAGGGACAACTGGAAATCTAGAGCATAGGGGTATACCCCATGTTATTTTTTGCAGACAGTGGGTATTTCAACGCGTCTTTTCCTCTCCCTTCTGACACTCAGCAGATGAAAGGAAAAAAAAAAAAAAAGCAGAGGGACAGTTTTACTGAGCCCTTTTCCCTGCCAAGAGCTTTCCCTCTCTGGGAGGTGAGGATGTGAGCAATGCTTGCAAGCGCTAGGCTTTACCTGGAGTATTTTAAGGAGTCAGTACTTGCTCCAAAGTCTTCTGAGATCCACAGAAATCTTCACAGAATCACAGAAAGGTTTGGGTTGGAAGGGACCTCAAAGCCCATCTCATTCCAACCCCTGCCATGGCAGGGACACCTCCCACCAGCCCAGGCTGCCCCCAGCCCCATCCAGCCTGGCCTTGGGCAAGGGCAAGTCACCTTCACAGGTTGTTTGGCAGAGTAGCTGCAATGGAAGAGACCACATGTGAGTTTGTGAGGGAGAGAGTGAACATGGAAATTTCATTTACTAGAGCTAAATAAAATTTGAACACTAGAACTAAGCATTTTTCCCACGCAAAATATGTTTTTGTTTTGTTTCACTTTTTTTTTTTTTTTTTTCCATGATCCATGGTGAAACTGCTTTATGTTTGCAAAAATTCTTCAGAGGAAAGAGGTCATTTTCAATAAGGTAGGAGAATTTAAGCAGCAAAATAACAAAATTCGATGGGAGTAAAGGCAAGAACAGGACCACCAGTGGACTCCTTCTCCCTTACATAACTGCAGCAGGAACAAGAATATACGAACACATTTCCCTAGGCAAAACCACCCCTTTCCACAAAATTCATTATCGCATCACAAACTGATGGTTTTCCAAAAATGAACTGATGAAACTTTCATATAATCAGAAGTTCTCATAAATGCATCCATTAACCCATAAAAAATAGGGTCAGATTCCTAGACAGAGCTCTCCTCTTTGCTCCCTCCACAGAGAACAAGAGCAGAGCTGGCTTCTGGTGACAGCTAGAGTCAACATAATTTAAACATTTCAGTATTGCATTTCCGTTTTCACTTTTTCATCACCTTTTGGCTGAAACTCTCCAGACCTGGCCAGCTCAAAGTAAATAGTCTGAGGAAATGAGAACCAAAAAAATCCCAACCTACTCATTTTTTAGGATGATATGATTATAAAATTAAATAAAAGCCTACATTTCCTCTTCCAAATAAATGATTATGATTTAAACAAACAGACTGGGAGGGGGAGAGCTGCAGTTTTGAAAAGAGCTTAGATACAGGATTTTATTTTTCCTAGTAAAATGGGATTGACCTGGCCAGTTTTCTACTGCAAAGGTCACCCCACAAGGACACAACAGTTGAGCCCATTTTACAAGGTGATGAGGGGTAATAGTAAAGGTATAGTAAAGAATAATAAAGGCATAGCATTTGTCCTAGTGAAATATAGCCAAATAATCACTTAGGAATGAAAAAGTGAAAGAGATAAGGTCTCTCACATCGCTTTTTCTCTGATTTTTATGTGAATATAGCCCATATTGGAGTTATATTCATACTGCAGGCATCAGGTATGGCCACAGCTTGTGGAAACAGTCAGTAGGTCACGTCATGGATGCAGTGAGAAAGATGTCAGTAAACCCTAGCCATGTTTTTATGAGTATCTAGGATGCTTATCCACACTCTAATCCTATTTACCTGACAGTGCTCGTGGCTATTGAGGTCAACCTTGGTAGTTCGTGAGCCTGCCTCCAGCCCAACTTATTCCCAGTCACATTCTGCCAGTGGCCTTCTACATCCTCTTGACCACACTGTTAAGGAACTACAGCCTATGAAAAGATGATAGTGCCTTTGAAGGAGCAAACCTTGCTCTGCAAATTGCTCAAAATGGCACTAAAAGTCAGTTGAGATATTC